AAGATTCGCAATTCCTTAATGAGTTTTGACCTGTATTCAAATATTTGCTCAAGTGGGGATGACCTGTAACGAGACAAAGAATGCTGACCAGTCCAGATCGTAGAAACTTAAATTGTTCCCTGAAACCAGATGGGTTTTGAAGAAAGGTTGGGTCCTGCTATTGAAGAAAATTGTCCTGTCACTACTGTTCACTGCTTATCCGACCCCTGATATTTTGCTTCCTCGACTTGTGACTCTGACGCTCCTGGGTAGATCAGAAATGAAAAATTGGTGGCCTGCTACAACTAAGACAAGTAGCAGTGAAGAGCGTTTTAAATTCCAATGGGGAAAGAATCTTTAGCTTATACCGTAATCATCCTCAGTAAGAGGAGTGCCAATTGTTCATAAGTTCCTTTGCACGGCTTTTTAGGAAACTCGTGAAACTAGTGGAACAGAGCTCGTTTGGACTTCCCTTTTCAGCTCGGCAAGTGACTATAGCAAGCTGATCTTTCGACAGGCTCCATCAAGAGTTGTTCGGAGAAAACATGGCAGCTTGGTGTTACACCAAGACTCATCTCTGTAACCGAACAAAAATTGGTGCACACTCTTAGAATGCCTGAATGGGAGGCTTATGGCTTTGATAGGAGAATAGAGAGTGTGTGTCCAAAGGCTGGAAGTGTCGCACCGTGTAGGGTAGTTATTTGTCGAAACTTATCAGGTTCCACTTTCGCTGAATCCGACTTGTCCGAGAACGCAAAAATGGTCATTTGGCAGTTGACGGCGGACCTCTGCATTGCCTTTGCGAATTTGAAGCTAGGACGAGTGCGCGGCTTATACCAAATAATTTTGATTGCTTCCCTCTTTACTTGGTTGATAAACAACGAAGTACCTTACTAATTTTCCCTGGAGGGCATGTCCTCATAATGAAGCTGGTTACACTTATTTTTAATAACTGCGAGCTTCCCTCTTTACTTGGTTGATAAACAACGAAGTACCTTACTAATTTTCCCTGGAGGGCATGTCCTCATAATGAAGCTGGTTACACTTATTTTTAATAACTGCGAAGGAATTGAATCTATGGGAGGTGAAAACTACGCTTTAGCGCATTACGATACCGTACAGCCGACGTCGTGAGGTGAGCGCGGCATCATCAAAGAGCCGTCGGCATCTGCCGTCCCACAGCAATGTTATGTTTGATAATTGTAATTGGGAAAAACTTGTCTCACAGGTGGCCCGAAAGTGTCACAAATGCCATTTCAATGCACTCCTGACGCGTCGTTATCGCCCAAATGCAGTACGTCGGCCATTTTCCTGCTCGGCTCGGGACCTTCTTTGATGTCAATGCTTTGTATTCATTCGTTACGTCCCACTTTGATGTCAATGCTTTGTATTCATTCGTTACGTCCCACTCGAATAATGCAGGGTACCAATTACCTATCAACATATTTGTAGCTGTCAAAGATACCCATGGAATGTTGTCCCAGGTTAAGTCCCTTTATTTAATCCTAGTCCATTAGTCCCTCCAATGGAATTGGGCTTCTGTACATAGTTGGGAACTTCGGTAGGAATTCAGATACCTAGCTGGCTGCTTCTTTTCAGGAGTGGGAATTGTCCGGTTGTTTGAATGCGTATGTGGCTGATGGAATTCATCACGGGATGAAAGAGAGGAAGGGGCGGGCAGAGGTGCACTAATTGTTACAGTGAAGTGTTTTCATGCTTGTGGTAGACTTAAAACCGTTTTCCTGAACCTAGGGTTGGGAAGAGGAGGGTTAGTTCGACNCAGGTACATCTCATGGTGAAGAGTAAGATGCTGGTGATGCAGGAAGGAGAGAACTTTTTTGAAGATGGGTAAATGTCTCTTGTAATTTTTCTGTCTAAAGTTAGGTCTCGCATTGCTCTATCGACAAAAACGAAAGATTTATACGAGTATTAACTTTTTTAATAAGTAACTAAGTAATACCTTATACGAGTAACAGCGGAGTGGTATTCCATTATATTTGGGATATTACTTAGGGCATATTTTTTACTACATAGTTTTCAGTTCATGAGCCACTAAACCAGCAATTACCTTATCGACACCTTTTTGAAGAACAGTGGATGAGAGTTAACCAGTCCGTTTTTGGTTGAGTCTACGCATTTGGAAATTTGCTTATGGGTTAGGGAGTTTACGAAATCGTAGAACATTACCTCTTCAAATGGTTAGCCCAGATTACAGGAAGCTTCGAAGATCCAAGTCCGTAAAATAGCAATTATAAATGGAGCATTACAAACCCTAGCCACCACTTGGCTGTTGTCCCCTACTGATGGTCCCTACTGATAGAAGTCGAAGGTTTATTATTATTATTTATTAGTCTGAGGTTTTTTGTTTACCTATGAGCAGTAGCAAGAGTGGATTCGATCGGCTTCTGATGACTGATGACTTTTCACTCCACTTTTCACTTGCAGGTAGCGCGTTAGAAGATTAAAATAATAATATAATTAATTAACTTAAAATCAAATTTATTTAATTAAACTGAATAAAGTAATAATACTAAAATTAATATTTGGAACATTGAATTTAAAAAACACAGGTAAAAACACGGTTTAAAAAAAAACACAAATAAGCTTGTCCAAACCTTGCCACGACTTTATCCAGGACTTTATCGTAGTCGTAAAGAAATGGGAACCTCTTACTATCTCGCAAAAACCAATGTTTGAGTCAGCGTGCTCCTAATATTCTGAATGGACCCTGCCTCAAGCTCATAGAAGTTCAAGACATTCCCAGTCTGGCGTATTTCCGATTGGAAAAGTGCAGCGCGGTATACCTTCTCCAAATTAACTCAATGAATTTGACCTAAAAGGTGACAACATTTCTTTATCATTATACATTATATTACACACCACTACCCTTTCGGGTTTTTTTAGGGTTACCGTCTAGTTGACTTTATAATTATCTAGAAGGAAACAGTTAAATTAAGTAGGATTTGTTCATAAATTATACAAATATTTTCAAAAAATAATTGCTGTATGGTTAAGAAAGTGAAGCATTCCGTTAGTAGGAAGCACTGGAATGTGAACGTCGTGGGAGACTGAAGTAGACGAGGCCTGGATCGGTTCCACCCACGTGAGTTTGTACCGCCCCTAAAGGGCTAGCCCCGCCCCTCAGAGTGACAGCTTATTTGGCCACGGGTCTTCTCTGTTCCCTCTTGTCCACAGTACTCTTTCCTGGCATCTTTTCTTCCTTGTCGCCTGCACAAACCCTGAAGTCGATTGCCAACTGAGCTTCCAATTTTCAGTGTCTTCACTGATCTATTTCATTCTCTTCTTTAATGGTCATCTCCGGAACATCCTCAGTTTCATTACTTTCCCACTCCGGGTTATGGTTCTCGCTGTCTTCAAGCAGTTCCTAAAGGTTTATCATGCCACCATTAGCAAATCCCTGTCTTTCAATCTAATGTTTTTTTGTTGTGGGTACTTTTTTGGAGGGTGCTTTAATTGCCAGACTCGGTTAACTAGTTTAGTTAGCAAGTCATTATAGCCCTATGAGTATTGGCTTGAATAAATTCCCGAATGCATTAACCTAGCAGCTTTTGCAGCGGCCACTGGTGTGGTCTTGTTGGGACCCCACAGCCCTCAGGTACCTACCGTTCCTTCCATCTATAAAATTCGTGACGAATTTGGAGAGTTTGACTATTACCAAACTTAAAGCCGGAGGAAGCCTCACCAGTCCCTCATTCCTTTGGACTTTTGAATAAATATTCTGTTCCCTCAAATGGAATAGGAGGTAAGATCTGGCTAGATCCTGACCCTCGCGTCATACGTGTATCAACAGCGCCACTTGCTTCTGTCCTATTTCTGAAGTTTGATGACAAAATTGGAAGCGTGCAATTAGAAGAGTCTCATCTTAAAAGCTATTTTCAAAGCGTCTAAAGTGTAGAGACACGATCGTCGGCACCGCATGCGTCTAAGTGACTAGGGTTCAATTCCTTTGCACTTCCAAGGTCGATTGTTTGGTGTCGAATTTCTCTGCGATGGGAGAACGGATCCCTCCGATGTAAACATCTGTTGTCTCCGAGCAAATTATTACATGTGGGGTAAGTACTGCAGTAAAAAGTCTCTGACTTCCCTTCCTTTCTCCTCCCCCCTTACCTTTACCACCCTCCTCTAAGATTGATTTTCGCTGACAGACAGATACATGGCCTATCTCCCTGCCTCATTGAGATCCCTTACGGGCAGGCAGTTTCTACGTCTGGAGAGGTTTTAAGTTGACAATTGAGAACACCTGAATAGACCCTGAACGGACGGGGGTACTGCTTGGTGCCGTCTGGTGGCGATAGGAGTGTCGGTCGTATGCGCTTGTGGACGTTGATGATGGCTCGTACGGCGCTCTTCCTCTAATTAATTGCTAACACATGTGGAGGCTGGCTATAAACATTTTCGGTACTTTCAGATCGGCTAATTATTCTGAAGAGAAAATCGATTCACTCGCCACTTCACATTATTTCTCCTTGACTGAGACGATTCTCTGCCATATTTCCAGACCACTCCAATGCTTTAAAGTTTGGACCTTCCCTCACTTTCTCAACTATAACTATCCTGATCATGATCAGATGATCATTCACTCATCATCAACGATTAAAGGTGGAGGTACCGACAGATACGCCATTTATTCGTTTTTGCAGGACTTCCTGAATACGTATTTGTCTCAATAAGTGACTTATCAAAGTTTCTATTTCCGTGATTAACTCCTTCTAGATAGGTATTCTGCCGAACACCCATATCTCAGTGAGGTAAAGGCTTGCTCGGCTGACCTGAGCCGGGCGGGGAGTGGATATTGAATCCATCTAAGAACTAAAACTGTGGAAGGGATACTATTAGTCGTAGCTCAACTTTAGATTTTCAAAAAGAGCAACTACATTGACTGCTGACTGATTCGACTTTTCGAAGAATTGAAACTCAGATGGGGTTGTTTCGTTGTCATTCAAGAATAGGGCTTCTTATCGTAATATTGAAATTAAAATGCAGGTGAGGACTGTATCGAGAATGCAGTTGATGCTGAGCTCTTATGGCAGCAATTCGGTTTTTTAGGGCTATTTACAATGGCTTCGTCTGCTCAGTAGGGACAGAGCCTGGCAGTCAAAGTATTTCGGGCGATATTTTCTTCAGAGACCTTCTCAACCAAAAAATGAGCTCCAAAAGTGTTCGAAACAAATGAAGTGATTCAAGAAATACTTCGAGCGTAAGATCTGGTCAACTGTGATCGCTTTGTCGGGTTGTCCATAGAGGAATTTGTTTGTTTGTAAGCTCGCTGGTTTAGTTCCTTTCTTCGGGCCCATCAAATCTTCGATTGTTGGCGAGGGCGGGCCGAAGGACTAATTGGCACCAGATTTTATCTGCTAAGATGGAGAGATTGATTTGAACGTTTCCTAAACTTCTAGATTGGCATCCAGGGCTTCCTATTCATTGACTGAACTGTTTTCAAATCGCGATCGAGTGCATGGCGCATCCTGCTTTTTCATTACTCTATAGTAACCATATCGTTTCGTTATCAGGGAGGTTCAGTTTTTTTCCACAATTTTTTAAAATCCTGCCAGTAAAAAAGCGAATAATGCTTACTCGATTTCACTTATTCTCTGTGTGGAGTCGTCGATGGCGGCATGGGGGACGGGGACGGCTTTAGCCTAATTGCGTATCTGTGGCCAGACCACATCATTCGCGGCTAATTACGCACTGTTTGCATTGCGATCCATTGCGCATTTTTGGCTTGAGCGAGCCGGCTACCACCAACGTCGCCATCATCGCCATCGTGCCACTCATTAACGCCATTAGCGCCGTCGACGACGTTTAATACTCGGCTCCACTGAAGGCAGCTTTTCCGAATTCCCGTACACAGATTTCGCATCGGGGATAATCTAGACGATTAGCCTGATTGTCTATTGCAGCGTCGGGAACCGCGGGGGTCTTATGGTGTAGGGGTCTAATTGCTGGGAACTTCTGCGGTTTTTCAAGCAGCTATTTTGATACAGCAACTATTAGTTATCAATTACTCCAAATGAAGGTAGTACTGAACGAGCTCCAAAAGTCGCGTAGTACTACCGTCCAACAACGATTTTCGAACAGTTTTTATTTATTAGGAATTTTGAATACAAGTGAATTAGTCCTTCTTAGCGTTTTTGAAAGGAGAAGTTCATTAAATGCTGATCACTTGCTCCTTTGCAAGTGTGAAGACCCTGTTCTCGCCTGCCTACCGTGTCATTATCACATGATATCACTTACTATTAAGCTTTTGCGCTATAATTTAATGAATAAGTATTTTAGCTTCAGCTAACATCATGTAAAAGTCAAATTACAGGAGTGGCGGGGGTAGCATTAGGGTTGAGAAGTTTCACGGTGAAAAGTTGTGCCGACGACTTCAACTTTGACACCGGTCATCGCTTATTCTCCAGTAGCCTCAACTCGAACCTGCTTTTCTTTCGCGACTTTCGCTCGATCTCTTTATTTTAGAGATGTCCGCAGACTACTTTATAACCCTAGCGTTGTATTTCTTCTCATCCTTCTCCTTCATTCATTTCTCATCACAATCAGCTCTGACCCATCCATTCCTTCTCTGTCATTTCAGTGACTTTTTTGTGTTGACGCCTTGCACCGACCGACGGCGAGTAGCGGGCCGGTGGTTGCTGTTCCTCGTCGTGATTTTAGCCGTCAAAGCGAGAAACAGATTTGTTCCAGATGCGCTCTTGATGTCATCCGACTTCGGCGTGCACCAGTTGTTGATGCCATTCGACGGCAATCAGCCTGGTCCATCGAGGATGATGGTCGGTGAGTGAACCGATTGGCATGCCAATCAATTTATCTTCACTTATTTACCTAATCGAGCTGCTACTCGAAGGGGAATCATTTGATTAGACCATAATGATGCTATCAAATCAACATAAGCTACGAAGTATAAACACATGGAACAGTTCATTAGGGAAGCTGCTGGCCGATTTCCTAATGAAAACAGACCGTTTGAATCCCTTAGTTACAATTTATGGGAGGAAGAACCGCTTCATATTGTCGTTCTGTAAGATTATTGTGCCCATCAGTTACTCTGATCTTTTGTTCATCTTCATCTGGGTTGGTTCGATCATACCAGTCACGGATTGAGTTCAGATGGAGCCGATTCTGATTTTGTCGCCACAAATCTACTTCGGTTACAAGAATTTCCGAATTGGTCCTCGTTCCTGACTTGAGGAGGTTTATGGGAAACCCCACTTTTTCTTCCCACTACAGCAAACGACAAATCAGAAATTCATTCAGAATTCTGCTTGCCTTTTTCCTCCTCTCCTTGACTTCTGAAGAATTCGCTATGTGCATTGAGTCTGGGTAAAGTGAAATGCAGTAGGTAGGTACTAAAGAAGGGCAGGGGTACGTTGAATGGATAGATGAGGTAGTTCAGCATGAGCTCAAGCTCTCTGTTCGTCCCAT